AGCCATTTGGTCCTCTTGAGAACGCACAACGCCCTGCAGGTGTTCCGCGAGTTTGTGTGATCGTTCCGACTGAAAAGAGGCATAAAGTGGTCCAGTCAAGATGCCAAGGACATGGAAACAGAGGAAGGCCGCCTGTCAAAAGGAATACAGAACGCGAATTACCTGTCTCCGTTGGACGGCCTCAGCAGCTTTCAATTCAGCCAATTTGTCCTGCCATTCGGACAGCTTTGCACTGAGCCCTGCCTGGAATTCGAACTGGTTGGGTTCACCCTTCAGCAGCTCAGCTACCTCAGCTGAAAGTTCAGAGCGCTGCTTTGCACTGGCTGCTTCACCAATTGCCTGCAGATATTCCCCCTCCGTAGCCTCAAGACATTCACGTAGACGCTGACACTCTTTCATATAGTTTGTGATAAGGCGGACTAAGCGTTCCTGCTCCGGTAGTGGAATACAGCCGGAAAATCGGGACCTCAAATTCTAAAAGTTAAATAGAAAATAGAACTACTAACAAATACAAAGTAGGCTATTTGTGACAAAGTTAAAACAATAGGTCTCTACCGCTATCGTTGAGCGCAGACGACGTTCTCGAGTTCGAGCTTGATTTTGCAAGTGAATCATAGTACTATCCCGATCGTCAAAATTCTTCTCTAGACGAAGAATTGTGTTGTCCAGACGTGTTATTTTGTCATTGGCCGATGCCAACCGCCTCACTGCAGTGGCTTCGGAGATCTGTAAAATGGAAGTCAATGAATATTTAATATGAAGGCTTCTATGAAGCGTATGCAATGCTAACATCCAACGGGCCGACTTGCCTTGGTATTGTTTATAGACAAAATACGAAAGTTTTTTCAAAGTTAGTGAAGCAAAAGCCAAAATGATTTTGATTAGGGGCTTTTGTATGGGCGTGAAGCCTAGAGAAACGGGTTGAAGATAAGAATGAACAATTCGCAGGATGAGTCTACATAAACCAGTCTCGCGCATTTACTAAGTTTAGAAATGGCTCCCACATTATCTGCCACTTCCGAGCAACATAAAAACAATGGCATTTATTGCGTCAATTATAGGTCACTTGCAGTACGATGTTTTAATATTGGTCTAGGCGTACTGCCCAGAGACACAATTGCAAGATGAAACGTACGTCAAAGAATGTGGTTACTCACATAACAAAACACATCGTGTTTTACGTTTAAACATATTTGGTCGGGGACGGTCGATTCTGCAATGAAGACGTTCACTCGCGCTTTCTTCCAAGACCCGCTAAAGGCTTGTTTTTTTATCTGTGCAGCTAACTGAAACTTTTTTTTAACGGACTGCTTACATACTGCGAAGATTTCCATGTTTAAATTCAAAATTGGCTCGGTAGAACTCCTCTTTAGCGCCTTTTTCTTCTGGACAGTTTCCTCTGGAGAGGGAACTGAAGTCATCAGATGCCTCACTTGCCACTTAGCACTGAAAGAAATGCCTTCCCTTTTGAAAAGGAGGAGACGCAATCGTCGGAACTAGAATTTTGTTTGTTTGACGTTATGGATTCTCTCCTCGAATACACCATCAGTGGAAGTAAAAGGATAAGGGTACTGTGCGCACAGGGGTCGTGGTATTCATTTGCAAGCGTCTATCTATTTTGTTTAGAGATTCCTATGTTCACGGCAGACGGCTGCATGTTGTTCCTGTAAATTTATTTGCGCAAATGAAAATACTCAAAAGACTTTAGTAAGGTGGGTAAACAAAATAATTTGAACACAGTGAAATGAAAGCCAACCAGTTGCACATTGAGGATCAGATTTCCCGACTGTTAGCTGCTTCACATATTGTGGGCAGAAGAGTGAACGCGTCAAAGAAATTTTCCTAACAGAGCGTCAAAAAGCGTCTGTTTTTTAGGTCCTAGAGTTGATTACCAGTTTAGGAATAACCGCTTAACCTAGACAGGGAAATTGACAAAAAAGTTGGAAACACTACCTGCAGCCGGGTTATTTGTCTGTGAAGACGTGCCATAGCAGCTTTCTCGTCCGAAGAAGATTCTAGCTCCACAATTGCTAATTTGAGGATTGATTGTTCTTTCTCGGCATCCATTTTCATGTCATTAAAAGCCTTTACTTGGGTAGCAGCTATTGTTGACACCTCCTTCAGGGCTTCGTTCTCCATCCGCATTTTAAGTTCAGCTTGCTCCAGTCTCTCTAAGCGTTCCTTGCAGGCCTCATAGATCTCTTTTGGCGCCGCCTCTGTTAAATTAAATTTACATTTAGGAGAGTTAAACTCAAAACACTACATATTAAAGAAGAAGTAAAATAAGCAGTCATCCCTTCCCCCTCCCAAACTTACCGCTCAGTTCATCACGCAGAGACGCCTCAATTTTTTGCTGTTCCAGACAGGTCTTCGTCAGTTCGGCGACCTTTTGCTCCAGTTCGGCATTTCGTTGTTCCAGTTGGTCGCACGCACTCTTCAGAGTGGCATGCATGGCCTGCAAGTGATTAGCCCGTTCGCGTTCATTGAGTTCTCGCAGTTCTGCAGTGGCGAGTGCCTTCGCTATTGCCTGCACACTCCCCTCAGACTTGGGCTCGTTTTCGGTATCGAACGACAGTGGACTCTAGATGTCAGGGGAAAAGTGGACGAAACGTAATCGAAAAACATCGATATATAGCGCCGAAACTACCACAAGATTTCCTGCTGGTAAACTTCCTCTAATGTCAGGCCTACAGAACTGATGGAGGGTGTGCTTGTATCAAAAACGTCGGCTGGGAAAACTGATGATAGTAGCTATGCGATGACGATGATTATGATGTTGGTATTGTTTATGATGGTGTTGATGGCAATGGGGGTGGTGGTGGTGGTGGTGGTGGTGGTGGTGGTGGTG